GATTGCTACCAGACTTGTTTGAAAGCACAGAAAAGCACTGAACCAATATATCAGTAAGCATCCACAACTAAATGTATAGGCTAAACGTGGATCCAATTACCTTTGCCATACCTAATGAAGTCGAACGCAGAGCATGATGTCGCACAGGGATTCATCAACACCAACCGTTTCATCATTAGCAGCCTGTTACAACAGTAAGATTTATACGTCACAAATGAAGCTCTAAAACATCGTAAAGTCCCATTGTTAAACTGTTCCTCAGTTCTCCATTAGTAAATTAGTAAGACTACATGAAGGCCATGAACAGACATATTCGGGAAATAGTGATAAAGTAAAGCACAACGTGCGCTGACTCCATTTTTCAGCAACAGGGTAGTATAAGAGGTAAGATTGATGATCTACCTTGGACTTTGTGCGCTCCTTAACAAATCTCGCATTTGTGCAGTGTTTTGTCGATTTAAGTTTTTTTTCCTACCGTAGTACGCTGATAGTCGTGCAAAAAAACTCCATCAGTAATTCATGAATGTGTTGAACACATAAAATACAATTGCTGAGATGATTTTTGATTTTCCGTATGTTACAGCGCATTAGAAAAACGAGAATAAAAATTCGACCATACGAATACGAACAGTTCATCTTTATGGAAAATCATGCAGTGTCAACACAATTTCCAAGTAGGCAAAAATTTCTTTCCACGGTGTTGTGGGATAGCCGAGATGGAGCTTTATCAAGTCGCATAGACGAGATAGAGACTTACCGAGTTGTACAGCCAAGATGGAGCCTTAGCAAGGCGCATCGCTGAGATAGAGGCTTGCAAAGTCGTAAAGCCGAGACAGATCCTAACGAAACCGTGCAGCAGCACTAGAGCCTTCGTAATTCATCGTGGCAAATAGTCGCCTGGCATTGAAGTACATTGGCGGGAGTTTTGCCGTTTTGCGATTATGTTTATCCTAGAACATAACCGGATTTTCGAATGGGAATGTCGAACTCATTCTTAGCTTGTGTGGCTTTGTCAGAAAATGAACCCTATGTTGTCCGTCGAAGATCTACTAAGAAATTGAGCAGAACAATAAAATTTCTAATGTTAAATATTTAGCGAATAGTAAACGTAAGAAGTAATGAACATCAAAATAGAGATAACCGAAGTGACAAAAAAGGTGTTCTCGCTCTATTTTTCCTCACTCGTCCTCATACTTGCTAAATTTCAAAACTACTAACTAGTTCATTAGTATGATTACGTTTGGGGAAATTCCATTAATCTAAGTAATTCGTTGATAAGCGAATCATTTACAACTAGGCAAAAACCGGATTTAGCTACTTTATGCGTGCATTCAAAAATACTTCACAGCTTTCACAGCGTCAAGCTCAGTTGCTTCCACTCCCGTGTGGTGAACAAGCATCTGCAAGTTCTTCATTATATGACAGATTTCGATCTTTATGCGACAATGCACATTTCACAACGAAGTACTGATGATTCGAAAGAAACGCCGCCATAAGAAAATAATACAAAACAACTTTAAATGGCTATATCTGTTCAATCTTAACTACGGTTTTCCAATATCATTGCAGAGAAGGTAATGTTCAAAGTAAGTGTTTAATTAGATACTCAGTATCTATCGCCTACCAATATCAATAGAGAAAAGTGACACAACACGAGACGCTTCTGATCATCTCCCTCAGTTATCCTAAAGCAAAGTAACCAGCTAAAAAATTGGAAGTTGTTCACAGCAGTAATGTTGAAAGGCAAGGCCTACTGTATAAAATCACCCCATGTATAGGTAGGTTACCGAATTATCGTCGCCAACAGGTGCATGTGCGTGCAGCACTTCAATACACATTAAGTGGTACGTACATCTCCGAGACCGCCATCAAAACTAAGAAAAAGAGAAAGAACATGATATTTCCATCCACGCACAAAACAGGAAGTAAACCTGGGCAAGGAATCCCCATCGTCGCATGGGAAAACCTACGACTTCCTGTGGCAACGCTCTGTGGATTTCTGGGCATATCACGGCTGTTCTGCGAATCCAGAGAAAAATTCACCTTGCACCATGTATTCGACTTCATCAAACATCGTAGAGGTGACTGAATGCATATCTTGCTTATACAGTGACTTGTGGTAGCCTACTGATGTATTAAGTTAGTCCTGCTATTCTGTCAGACAACTCTTTTACTAATTTATCGATCCCGGAAGGATGGAAGGCTTGGAGGGTTCGGAGCGCAGGACTGGACAAGAATTTGATTTAGCGTGCATTAGTGTACCTTTAAGCACTGCGTTACAATTATCGTATGTTATATTATTGTAAATTCGGCTTCTTACATCGTCATGGAGTGGTCAGTTAATTTTTTATTCTTACTTCCATGTCATATTCGGGATAATTATCATATCCGAAGAAATTGGTAGGAGGACTAATCGATGAAACTGCTGCTCATACAAAACTTCACTTACATCCAAACTGTGGTGACGACCTAAAAACATCCCAGCGAAATTGCCTCAGGATTGGAAGGATGGAAAGTCTTGTGTTCCTCACGTGGGGACCTCTAGTATGTCAGCAGCTCAGCCACGCGCTGCCTATACATCAAACGAACAGGCGTCCCAATGCTGATCCAAAATCACATTCTGTTTGCTCTGTTGAAGCCAAATGATGCACTGGAACTTTCTTTATGTATGCAAACATATCATCGATGCTGCTCTAACTGTGCATACGTATATACTAAATGAGCTCCGCACGCCAATTCGTTGAAAGCACTGCAACCAAATTTTTTAGGTTATGGAGGACAGCTCAATCACCTCCAGCAATCGGATTTCACGTCTACCATGTAAGAACATGGTAGCCTGTTCAACGCTATCTCTTAGGTTTAAACGACGAAAATAAAGTACCTCATTTAAACAGGTGCAAAATGGCATTCAGCAGTGTTCGGTACGCCACAGTTTTGGACTTACCTTAGAACAATTTACGAATCACATTAGGTGTTAACGCTTGCAAAGATAAAAATAAATACCAACCGGCTTTTGTCACCTGAGCGGTGAATCAAGCTATAGCAATGTTGAGGGCTTCAACAAGAACAGTAATATCAGAAGAATGTTAGCAGAACTTAATTTTAAGAACCACGGACTTCAATTCGCTCGGGATTCTCATTCTCACTATAATGAGAAAAGGACGCAAATTTACGTAATTTTATTTTGGAGAGATTCATAAACTCAAAATTCTTGGTTCTCTAGTCGGCTCTGCAGTGAATACCGTTGTTAAAGAATGACGATGAACACAATCGGCTCATATTAATGTCTACATGGCATCTTCAGAAAAGCTAAGTGGAAAGCTAAAAAAGATTTTTGCCTGTAGATTTCCATTAACGTTCAAGCCAACATGGAATTACAAGACCCTCAGGAAACTATTATGAAAATTCACCTCAAATTATGCAACAATCCATCTGTATACAAATGACTTAAAGAACGATAAATAGGAGCAATGGACAAAAATGAAGAGATTGAAAGATTAAATACGATGAAAATGCGTTTAGCATCACTGAATGCTCTATTAAGTGTGCCTCCTAAGAGCATTTCATATTGTGGAAATGAAAGAAGGAATCCGGAACTCCAAACCGTATTGACGACTAAAGACCAGCTGCATACCTCAAAGTGTCGGAAATCAAGTGCGTGGGACACATGGCTTCTCTTAATGACAAGCGTTAAGTGAGAGCCGCAAATGACTGGGTACTAGAAATCAAGCGCAGTGCAATAACGACAGCACCAAGACCCCTCGCATACGAGCAGCTCTAGCGCGTCACAGAACTACCTAAGGCATATAATGTGGACACGACGTTGAGCTGACTACAGGTGACCTCGAACCTCTCTACGGATATTATACCTTATCGTTATTTGATTATAAATTTTTCCGAAGCGCTGCACACAACTTGATTATGGGCGAGCATACCCAAGCATGCACGCATGCCTCTCCATAAAGACGAAAATTATTAAACAATTCGGAACTATCAGTTCAGATTCAGATTTCAATTGTTGTCATGCCATAGAACGCTTCCGATGAAATTATACCATACATCCAGAGTTTTGCAAATATCTCAGCATCATTGAAGTTATATTTCCCAATATATACCCTGCCATTAAAAAGAGTAGGCAGTAAATAAAAAGGTTAAGAATGTGATTATAGCTATACCCTCAGCTTAACTGGGTTCAATGCCCGTTTGGGCTCCCCAGATTAATGCCATTGACGGGTGGTTGCTGATGGCAGTGATCGGTAGAACTAGCTGAGAGGCGTGCGAAACGAAGGACCCGCATGGCGTGGTGATGAACGCGTTACTCCCCGGAGGGGGCAATACCACGTTCGTTCTCCACCGCAGACACTTGCGGTCCGGGGTTTTGAAAATATCTCAGCATCATTGAAGTTATATGCCATACATTCTTCACAATAATTTCAAGCTGAAAGAAAACTAGAAAAATATGGATCAGGATAGGAGACTAAAAAATATTTACTACTTACCGCATATAAACAAATAGTCACAGAATCACGAACCCTTTAATTTGTTGCCCTGTTTGCGACTAGTAATTTACAATGGCAAGTGAAAAAATGCAGCATGAAGTGGTCACTACGTATAAAAAAGTTAAGAGTCATATCAGATATTTGCAGATAACAAGCATCAGAAGAGTAGTAAACAATATGCGTGGCTGTGGCCTTCTCAAATGCGTAGCAGATTACACCATTTCAATGAGATCTTAAAAATGACCATTTTCATGATAACAGCGAAGTGGAACTTAGTCAAACTGGAAACAATGTGATGAACATGAGAAACATTTATAAAAGAGATTCCGTGTCACTGATCAAGCCAAAAACCTAACCCATAATTAACTTAAGCAAAGAACATATTTGGAAAAAGTCACCCCAGACGGAGAGCATAAAGGGAAACACAACAGCAAAAGCATTTAACTATTCTGTCACTATACACAGAGAGATGACATGAGTACAAAAAGGTAAAATTGTTGTTCATTCTCTGAGAACCATTTCAATTTTCTCCTTCCAAGTTTCAGCTGCTTGGCGGCTTTCAGCCAGCAAGGAGTACACACGCTCTTTTGTGCGTAACTAAACAACACAAATTTAAATAACTTCAAAGGGTGAGAACCTTTAACAATATATGACTTCAATACCGAAGTTGAACACTGCCCGGAACCGTCAGTGATGGCATAATGTTAGTTTCAAAGTGCTGAGATGGAGATAAAAGGCGTGGAAATGAGAAGGATCAGTGACAATTCAATGTCAACAACGATAATCTTCTGATGTTCCTCCTGAGGTTAACTCAACGTGACCCATGCACAACGGTATGCGAGCTTTTAGAACTACTAACCGCATAATTTAGCAGTTCTCAAATATTTCATTTGAACTGAAAAGGAGTGCTGAATAACGAAAAAAAACTGTGCGACGGAAGACGACATTCTGCGCATGTTAAACAAAGACAGCATACCGAAATACCACTTGAAGCTAAATTCACATGAAGAGATTATGAATTTTTGCTGTCGACAAGTAGTATTATCCACTGTAGCTTTAGGAATCCTAACACAACCACACAGTGTCGAATTACCTTCAAAAAAATCAATCCATTGCACTGAGTACTGCAACGTTTCTAATAAGTACACATCAGCGGAATGGCAGTCGGTTCTGTGGAACCAAGAACTCTGATCACATCTCACATGCGAAGTTGGATTAACTGAGGCATGGACCTCACCTCTTCTCCTTCTTTTTCATACGGAGAAAAAAAACGTTCTTTTAAAGACAACTGCAACACGCTGAATAACTAACGTTGAGAGAAAGAAATTCGGAAATAACTCTTACCATAATGACGTTAATCCTGTAAAACGGGAAAGAAATTCCGTTACTGAAAAAAATTTAGTGGACCCACAAATTTATAAACAACAAACCTCCAGAATTGCCTTATTGCCACTAGTTTCCACTTCAACACTTCCTACATCACATAAGTCGATGTAACCACGACATTCAAGGTCGTGTTCCGATTCATAATAATACATCTAAAGTTAAGACGAGTAAATACTCTAGGATATGCATAAGACCACACTTTACCGTATTTCCGTTAGGGTTTTCGAAATCTCACCTTATGACTATTTGCCTCGAGTTCAAACCATCGTGGAGCCCACAACTTGAATTTCGCACCTTTTTTACTTAGATAACCCTTATGTAAAGGAACCGTGTTGTGTGATGACAAATTTGTCCCATGGTTCAAAGTCAGAGTGCGGGTAATTCCTAAAACAAGTGATTAGTAGTGATATGTTAAACAAGTATGGCGATTCTCCATAAATTAAGAGCTGAATGAACACAGTGAAAAACAGTTCCCTCTAAATTTTAAAAGGATGGATAAAAGTATACGTTGGATTGCAAAGTGCATTACCCTCCCATATTAAATTAAATTTGTTTGCAGTCTGGAATGAAGAAAAACAGTATAATCGTAGCTGGGAAATTTCCCTGGGTGTCGGGCTGCGATGTACAGCGGAGGGATTTATCTCTTCAGCAGAGTTGCCAGGATGCACCACCGTTCTGGCATGAAACTAGTCACACGGTGGCAAATCTCATACAAAGGTTGCGCCTGCCTGTGGTGGTGATGACCTGGGGCAGACTTTGGCCAAGCTATTCTCGTGACTCCAAGAAACCACAATTGCTAAATCAGCAAACCTCCGAAAAAATGGAAATTATGCTGGAGCCCGCACAATCGATGAAGACCGACCATAAAAGTATTCAAGTAAGTAAGTAGTGAGTTTTGTAACTCCCACGACCGACTTTCTATTAACCTCGGCATTGATCAAGTAATTCTTCGCATTTTTGTTGAGCAAGTTGACTACAATCTACACGGCCAAACACCTCCATAACTAAACAGAGAAAATGCTAAACCGAAATGTCAATCACATTAAACACAGAGTCATTGCACACACACCGCTCTCTATGAGTCTTCCACCACTAAATATGTCATGTGGAGACCAACCGCACAGAGTTCTCACGGAATCGTATTGTGTACATCTCATCAAAATAACAGGCTTATATACTGCCCAATATCACGCGTGATAATGAGGCATTCTTCCCTGCGGATCATTTTCGGATTTCTGGAAATAATCTAGAATTCCTCGAGAGTTTTGCGCGTTTGCGTTCTTCATTCGTGTGCGAGGATCGTGACGCATACTTCAAAGTCCTCCCCGTTATGTCTCTGGGTCCTATGCGTGCCTAGCGAGGTATTTGGTCTATGTTTGCCGGCTAGGTGTTCATTTATGCAGACACAGAGGTATCTGCCCGTTTCGGCAATGTATTCGTCTTCGCACGTCTTACAGGAGATCAGATAAACTATACCTAAGCTCATGCAATCACTGGGGCAAATTATGCAATTTTGAATTGCGCATAGATGGCCGTATAGGCGGTTACGAACTAACTGGCGCTCAAGATTACTCTGTGGTATTTCAACTACGTTTACAGAATTCTCTAAACCCGCCATTCATAAGCAGCGTTTTATAGCTGTACTTAGTTCACCCGAGAAAATCCGAAAGAAAAATGGCTTCCATTCCGGAACGTACAAATTCACCTGTTGGAAAATGGCTACGTTGCAAAGTGGTACCGAAAGCCAAGTAGTAAAAACATCTTGGTTCATTACCTCTTGTCTCACCCCTCTCACACGAAAAGGGAGCTTATAAGAAACATGTTTCGAACAGCAACCAACGTGTGCACGGGAAGAGAGCAAAGAGAGGAGTCCCGGAACTTGGCGCGGCAAATAGCCACTTCTAATGGCTACGAAACTGTAGCTCGGGATAGGCGTAGAAAAAATCCTAGGCCTCCAAACGACAACTCTAGCGATAGAAAGGTCCCGTTTATCCTACCCTTCATCTCAAATGATATAAGTACAGCTATAAAACGCTGCTTAAGAACGGCGGGCTTAGAGAATTCGGTGAGCATAGTTGAAATACCACAGAGTAATCTTAAGCGCCAGCTAGTTCGTAACCACCTATATGACCGTCTATGCGCAACTCAAAATTGCATAATTTGCCCCAGTGGTAGTGACGGTGATTGCATGAGCTCGGGTATAGTTTATCTAATCTCCTGTAAAATGTGCGGAGACGAATACATTGGCGAAACGGGCAGATCCCTCCGTGTCCGCATAAAAGGACACCTAGCCTGCAAACATAGACCAAATACCCCGCTAAGCACGCATAGGACCCAGAGACATAACGGGGAGGACTTTGAAGTATGCGTCACGATCCTCGGACACGAATCAAGAACATAAGCGTTTAGCGTGTTCTTGGTTCGTGTCCGAACATCTTGGTTTAGCGTGTTTTTTGTTTGGTTATGAAGGCGTCTGGCAGAGTAGATTGCTATCAACTTGACCTTTCCAGGCTCCGAGGAAAGCGAAATCCGCCGAAACGTCAGCTTATTCGTGAATTGAGTTTTGTCTTCAAATTTTCATACTTCCTATCATCACCGTCTAAAAATCTTATTATTCTTACAATAGATCTTACCGTCACCGTCGCTGCGTAACGTCTCGCTATGTGTAACAGTGCCCATATTTTCGGTAGTGGAACGTAGCGTTGTTTCTAGGGGCGAATGAGCCCCTGTAGAGGCTCGTTCACTGCAAGGCCACGTAACGTTCACTATACACTTATCATGAGCGATTACTCCACATTGACGACATCGCTGACCTTGAAAAAGAAGCGATAAAAGGATATAAAAATGATGGAATTCAATTAAAAATTCTACTCTATAACAATGTTATAGTATGGAAGGAAAACGAATATGGAATACACAGAACAATCTCTGCTAATTTAACTAGTTAAAGTCATCATGAGATTATGACGAAAAGTCAAAACAAACGAATGGATTGCAGATCAGAAATATTCCTCAAGTAGCAGGCTCCACATTTTTTTTCGTTCTACAAAAGTTCAGTTGCAGCTATCACAGCTTTTTTGTCATATATTCGCTTCTCTATTTCTTTACACGGTGTAGAATGGAATTTTAAGTCCCATCTACAGCAAATAAATATTACGAAGACCTATGTTCGATTAAAAGTGATTGGTTAAGCCTCCAAACGGTCTATCGCGTCATCGTGGCTGGGAGGTATTCCTGGGTGCCGGGTTGAGATGTACCGCGAGGGGATTCATCCCCTTAGCAAGGTCTGCCAAGCTGCGGAGTCCGGTGTTTCCATCAGGAAGCCCAGCTAAGAGTAAACCAATGCAAGGATCCGTCATCGTCCTCGTATCAAACTACTCGCGTGGTGGCAAATCTCTGTGATGCATGAGGACGGCGGCTACCCGTAATGGTGACGACCTGGGGCAGATTTTAGCTTGGCTGACTTCGGGGCTCCAGGGAAGCACAATAGCTAAATCAGCAAAACTTCGAGAAAATGGAAATAATACTGGGACGCGCACAACTAGTGGGTCGGACCAACCAAGTATCCAAGTAAGCATGCTTGATTAAGAGAAGTACAAAAACCAGAAAAGTCCGAAATATCACAGCTCACCTGTACGCACTACTGTTCCATAAAGCGGAAAACGACAAAGTGCGCACTCTGAAGGTTGTCCACCACTGGCACCGTAGTGCTCGAAGACGTGATTTCGACTTGCACTGTAACATATATATGACCAAAAATGATCACACGAGCAGTATTTATTGCCCTCTAAATTGTAGTGGAAAAAAATATATGATCAGTAATCATGCATTTAACAACGAAGTACCACATATACCTTCATTCTTATGTTGTGTAAACTTACTTCTTTTTACTAGTTGCCAGTCGACTACTCACTCCTCTAAGCAGTATTCGAAGTGCCGCCTTCTTTAGTAGCACTCGTCTCAGTAGCCAGTCCCAATTACGAGGCTTCTCCTCTTTGTCATCTTGCTGAATTTGAATTGCGGTAATTTCCATGAGAAGTGATTCAACAATGTAACAAATTGAACGCAGATAATCTATTTTGCATGAGTTTCTCACTTCTTCATCGTCTGTAATCATTCTTTCTTCAGCAGCATTCCAAATGGTCAACCAGTCACCAACACGTGGTTTTTCGAGAGGATTCAAACGATTATTGGTCTAAAAAACATAAATCGCTGTTATTGTAGATCGAACTTGGATGAAGTGCATCACTTACCTGTAAAAGGAAGGTGATTCCGTCTTCTCTTTTTAAGTCCTGGCATGTTACCACGCCGTCGATGATACGAGATGTGGCACCGCCTGTTGTCACGCATTCAGAATGCGAAAAATACTCTTCATCCCTTTCACTTTGCTCAGCTTCGGCAACATCTGATTAACTTCATAAGCAAATTACACCGACTAACGGAGAAGGAGACAAACTACCAATATCATACGGCGAGCCGTGGCTAAGAGTTTCTTCTGAATAAAATGACCATATCTGAAGTGCCGCAACAGAACAAGCGGGAATCAGTACACCTTGACCATCCGACGAATACAAAAGATTGTGGAAAATTGTTTTGCAACCTGTCTTTTCCTAAACCTAACAAAAGTTATCAAGAAGTAAGACAACTACCAAATGAAAACTACTACCTTTATGTACAGCCAAATACAACCACGATGATCTTCACCAGTTTCTGGAATAAGCTGTTCCAACTGAACCCGTTCACTTTCAGAGTCCATAATGAAAGTGCGAAAGAAAGCAGATTGGCTGTGATAAGCAAGAAAACGAAGGTAGAAATCATTAATCTCGAAAGCACCGGGGAATTGAATTAAAAGCTGAAAAACAGAAAAGTTACTCAAACTATGCCATGGTTCTCGAACTACCACTTCATGTCCTATATTTGCACTTCCTGAGACGAATTTGCTCAACTCGCTTGAATGAGGAAGGAAACTGTCCTTTTAACTATCAAAGAATCACAAAGTGGTCATTGATGTGTAGTCGTACAACACATTTTAGAGTACTGCTTTTGTAAAAGTGATTTCTAGTCCACCTATTTATACAGGTTTTAGACCTCAAGCATTAGTAGAAACGTTGGTATAAAAATTCATTTCAAGGTAGGGTGTCTGACCAGATACATAAACCATACCTGATGCACAGCATCAAGAAACAGGAGGAACACTGGTGTGATCCCACTATTCTGAGAAGAAATTGTGTGATTCGCACGGTGAGAGAAACGGTGACCAAATGCCAGCCATTCCTTTTCAATAAGCTTCTGAATGATGGCTGACGACTACCAAAATGAATAAAAAAATAATAAGAGGTAAAGAAAATAAGGAAAATAGGCAGAGAAAACCTGAAAGCCTTCGATCGTTCGATAATAGGGGTCTAGCATAAGCTCAGCGAGGGACATTAACTGGCATGTTGCATCCCATCCTTCTTCTATACAAACAGCCACCTAGAAATCGAGGAATACACTCACAAAGGATATATAAAAATTGGGTAGGATGGGTCACTAGTGAAAACCGAACTTCTACTTCTAGTAATATTAAAATGGCTAGGAAAAAAAATAAATACCGAAGAATTATGTAAGCTAACGACACTGGCTATAGATGATGACAGCGACAGAAGATTAGAGACCTGTAAAAAAACAAGATTGACCTGCGTGTCGATCAGTATCACAGGGCTTTTGAAATAGACACAAAACACTAGCTAAACACCACTTCTCACTTCATATTCCATTTACCTGTAAAAAAAATAATTTTCATTTTTTAATTCTGTGCAGTGCATGATCTTGAATAATATCGTCTTCAGTATATTAAAAAGAGGTCTCGCTGGCTAATAACCATACCATTTGGAGCCACTCAGACTCTTCCACTGATCTGTAGAACGTTAACGTGGATGAATCCGTAAAAGGTGCACTTGGCTGCATTGCCCGAAGTAACTTCTTGAACGACACTTTCATATTATGAGTAGTAGGAAACGAGATCGGAACGAACTCTATGTTCTTATCGCAGCGAAAAATCTAGAAAACGTGCAGCAGATGCTAATAATGTCAAAATTATTATTTAATTAGATAATCTCGATTCATCACCTTTGCATGGGCTTTTTCCACCAAAATATACAAATTTCTTCGAGTTAGGCTCCCAATGGCATGTTGTAATGTCTTCAGAGGTTGTCTTTCACTGGACGATGACGATGTCGAAGCCGTCCAAGCAGCTGGATTCAACATCATCGAACCTAAACAAGCGCAACAACTTGTTCAATGCCGAGGAATTATTTGATGCTGAAGAAAGCACAGATTGGTCAAGACTAACAAGGGAGGTGAAGGCCACTTCTAAAGGCACTGGGAGTATCTATAATACCCGATTTTTCAAAGCACAAATTTTGTGACAGCTTTCTTATCTCCTCCATAAAGTAAATTACAAGTTAACGCTTTTCAATCACTTACAAAACATTGGCCTTGTCTAAGTTTTTAAACAGTAGAAGGTAAAAGGATGAAAGAATTAAAACAATGGCATTAAAAAGTAAGCTGGGATGGAAAAAAATTTTTAATAATAACCACGCGTGGGGTCATGCGCAACACATTAACTTAATAACTAATGCCGATTATTGCTGAAAACCAATCTTTAAAAATCTCACGCAAGTGGATACGACTGATTTATTATCCAAGGCAGTACATTACCTCTCGAGTATGGTTTAGTATTGGTGCTTCGAAAAGACGTAGCATAATATCGCCCAAAATCTGTTTGGTTACGTCGGCGAGCATCAGGAGTTCCTGTTGCGACAGAGATTCCTCAAACAATATGGTTAAAAAATCGGAGTGAAGACTGAAGAATGCTAGGCAAAAGCAACAAGCAATACCATCTCCAGTTAGAATGCTTTCGATTGACAACAAGCTAGTCATACTACCCATCGCACCACAAAGGTCACCTGCGTCGGATGGCGACACTTGTGCGAGACGAGCAAGATAGTGCTCCTAAGAGAAAGCAGAGAACTTACTGTAAACAGCTCTATTACTGAATCTGGAAAACGCTACCTGAAATTCTACACTATTTAATGGCCCAGATTCACCACTATCTTTGGAAACGAGCGTCATGCGGCTTCCACCTAATGTTGACACAGATTCGTTAGCATGCAGAATATTTGCCTAGAACGAAAAAATAGGTCCAGACAAAAACGAGGCTTCAGTTATTCTATTGCCTTCCGATGTTTTAGTGATTCCCAAACAAATGAGTAAATCAACAAATACCTTCTTAATCTTCTGAACCACATTAGTAGGAGCAAAACCACTTCCCCGAATCAACAACGCTCCATTTTCATTCGTCCATGTTATTACAGGAAAACGACCATGTTTAAACCCTTTTGCGATTTTCATAAACGAGTCGTCGCTTACTGACGATGGTATAACAAATGCCGATGGATAGCTAAAAATATACTATAACAAATGTACCAATATACTAATATACTAGCACAAATATCCTCCCCCTTCCAACACTTTACCGTCTTATCGTAGCTGGGAGGTGTTCCTGGGTATCGGACTGCGATGTACAGCGGAGGGATTCGTCCCCGTTGCAAGGTCTCCCAAGCTGAGAAGGAGTCAGGCGTTTCCATCAAGAAGCCTAGCTAAGAGTAAACCAATACCAGAGTCCACCATCGTCCTGGTATTAAAGTCGCATGGTGACAAATCTCACTCTGATCCACAAGGGCTGCGACTGCCTGTCGTGGCGACGACCTGGGGTAGACGTTGGCTAGGCTGGTCTAGGGACTCCAGGGAAGAAATAGCTAAAACAACAAAACTCCGAAAAATGGAGATTATGCTGGTGCCCGTATAACCAGTGAAGACGCGCTGTCCAAGTATCCAAGTATCCAAGTAGTCTACTAATATTTCAAAACCTAGGGGCGAAATGGAAATGCTAGAATAAGAGCTGTTTAGAACTAGTTCTTCAATTTTTTACCTTTTTACTACATCATAGCGAGAATTCGCATACGATACCCTAAAAATCGAGTTTACTCCACGAAACCTTAGACGTTCGTAGTCATAAAGATGACGGCGATGAACTTCCAGTGGTTTCAGTGGGATTATTTTCTCAGAAATATCTGCAAAGCATATACGAAGAAAGTACTAAAGGCATGAAGAATTCACAAGTTTGAACTTGCCTGAAAGATCAAGGTAGTCACTATGACTAACAGATGTCTCATTTTTTGTTGGTTGAGTCAATGCTTTCATTGCTGGAGCTATCATTTGTGCCTGTGGCCACTTATCTATGGAATCTAGGCGGCGGCGACTCATGGAATCTGTAAAGACTATATGATTCACAGATTTCAAACTTTTTTAATGTAGTCAAACATGCTGTGAAATTTCATATTGAAGATTACAAACGGTGGTTTCGTATAGGACGGAAATAAAACAACAAGATGGCTTCATGAATATCTAGTGGCACATCAAATGTGATTATTACAAATCATTACACCTAAAAGCACAACAACATTAATTTACAACTTACTACTAGCAGAAAAACGACCACTTTTGCCTGGAAATCGGGAAATCGTCTTCTTGAGCTCGCGAATAGTACTATACTTATTTTTCGATACGGAAGGGAGTGTTGCTGTAAGTAAGTGGCTAACAGTATTGTAGGCAAATAGTGAGTGAGGCAAAGCATTCGGCCAGCGTTGGTTCGATAATGACTTTGTGAATGCTTCCACATCATCAGCGCTCACCTAAAAGTAATTTATGTGAGTCTCAACATAAAAGTTTTGTTTCATCAGAAGATCCAAATACCTCTTCATCAAACGCTACTCTGAGAAGTTGGAAACAAGAGGTTCTCATCTGAAGCCCGTCATGAAGAGAACTAGCTAGCTGTAAAATAAACTTGAAAGTCTCTCAACTTTTTCGTAGGACTGATAAATAATAGAAGCACTGAAAACATTTGTAGTTAAATTTTTAGCACAATAGACAGAAAAGTGATGGATAAATAGACTTCATAGATTTAATTAAACTGCTTCAGTGACTACAACTACGTTGTTGCACTGCTAGTGAACAACAAGTACAGCTTAATTCAGCTGATAATGGACTGGAATAATTTTCGAACTCTTAATGAAAGATATTCAAGTTAATACCTTCGAAGGAAGCCCATGCAGTAGTCCTCCAGAATGCAAGCTGTGGTCATTTACCGCCTTTTCTTTGGTCAGTGTCATCACCGGCACCGATCGAACGACGATTTCATCGGTAACTAAAAACCACCTGATCTCCACTTAAGCTTTGGGTACCGAATAAATAGAAATTAAGACAAAGTTACTCACGGAAAGGATTCATCGGTCGACCCTTAAAAATTATACGGTAGTTTGTAAGGAACAATGCTCCTTCGGCTGGTAGGAGGCTCATATTGTTTTCCAGATTATCGCCAACTATAGACTGCCTTTCAGGAAGAAGAACGCAGCGCAGACCTCCAACCATTATGCGTTCGCATGGCGTTATCAATACGGGCGTGAGAAGTTTGGACTAAAAAATAAGGACCTGAAAGAGTTACACGTTTTTAACACCCAAAGTACTGTTCCGCACCTTCGGTGGAGGAGCAAGTTTTCGACTCTCTACATATACTTGCTCAAGGTTATCTATATGTACAGCGACAAATCCGGGAATGATTTGTGTGAGCTTTTCCGTAAGATGAGGATCAAGCCCCGCAGCTGAGCATATCCTATCGATCACACGAGATATCCAATTGACAACCTGATGATAACAACCTCATCAGTAATCCAAGATCAGGCTCATAGATTGCAATAAAAAACGGTACCGGCTAGAATTTGTTAGAAGGAAGAAAAATATACCCAGTAATAGCATTATAAACATACGGTACAATCAAGCTCATTATATAACTCCCAACATGAAATGCTCAATATTTCCACACGGAAACCCATCTAAGAGTAAATAAAAGGTATGAATCACCATAATATCAACAGCAACTTATTCAAAAGGTAGCAGATCACCCTTTGATTCATGACGGTCGACGACCAACTCGACAATATAGGGGAAGGAAATCTTGCCCGACTATCAAATTACTGGTCTAGTGAAAATTGTGTTGTATTAATCGTAAACATGGGGCGTCTAAATTTTTTTGTTACTCAGAAAAGTGTAACTGTTACGTACTACAGTTCCCAAATCGCCATCGTTGACATTCTCGATGAAGCCGGATTCACCATCAGATTCTGATAATGACTCAGTCTGAACACCGCTACTTTAGTTTTCCACATTGTAATAGAACTATGTTGCACGCGTTCTTCCATTCATTACGTGAATCAAAATTTTACTTTCTCTCAAAAAGCATACGAATTTTATATGAAGATTCGAGAAAAAAAGGAACAAAAACACACATTTGGCCGACCCCAGGAATTCCCACGCAACTCCAGATCATTTCTATCAATTCTACGAAGACGCGACGCATCCAGTGGGACTCTAAGGTACGTCATAAGGTTCACATAATGCTTCGCTTGACCATAAACAATAGATTCTTCCTGAAAAAATTGTATGCATTAGAACAAAAATATAGTACATTCGCTAAGTATAACAAGCAACTCCAGCTAATTACTTCTTCACTGCATTTAGCTAGTTCTTCATTAGAGAGTTCGGAAAGGCTGCACAGACGTGCAGCTGTTAATTCCATTGCAGTTGGTTCATCCAATAAATTCCACATATCATGATTGCCCTAGAAAAAACTCCCTAACAGCGAGTATTATAAAGTCGCAAAGATTTTTCTATTCATTTATTTTGAAAGTTAAAAATCAAAAGACGTCTACTTTTCCACAGAGTGGCATAATACTGTCATGGTGATATCCATAATGACGGCGCATTAGCTCATGTACGTCGTGGAAAAATGCAGCTTCCCAAAATCGTTGATTGCTCCATACAGAGTGGTCTTGTACACAAGTATAGGCATACTGTTGTACACCTGGCGTAAGCCGCTGAAAGTAAGAAGACATATTCTGAATGGTCAAGTGAAGTGACTGCAATGGGACCCACACGGCAGTATACGTTGCCCAAGTGTAAACAAGCGTACGCTATCCCATGTTGATCGTCGTCTGACTCATGCTGAAAAGGACTGGAGAATAAGACAAAAAAGAAGGGATAGAAGAAAAAAATGGACTTACATCACTAATGTTACTCGTGAAAACCGCTGAGTAATCTAGTATTTTTATATATCATATTTACATCTTCGCAATGTCGTTGGTTTAGCAACAAGTGTTGGTAATTTCTCGATCAACAGAGTACATGAGAAGCTGAGAACTTCACAACTTGTAGGAACTCCTTTGTCCTATTCCTTTAAGGCAAACGTAGATCTACAGAATAAATAAAAGAAAGAAAAATCCTAAGGAAATTCTTCCAGTCTAAAGTTGTTTTTCTTCGTATTTTTGTTGAGGAAACGCGAGGTGTTATTATTCTTTATTCACGAATAAGCTGATGTTTCGGCGGATTTCGCCTTCCTCAGAGCCTGGAAAGGTCAAGTTGATAGTAATCTACTCGGCCAGACGCCTCCATAACCAAACAAAGAAACTCTAAACCAAGATTTCAATCACATTGAACACAGTTTTGCACACTCACCGCTTTCTATGAGGTTTCCACTAAGTATGTCACGTAGAGACCAACCGCACAGAAATCACATGGAAGCATAATGTGCCCCTACCATCAGAATAGCAATCTTATATACTGCCCTATATCACGCGTGATAATGAGGCATTCTTCCTTGCGGTTCATTTTTGGATTTCTGGAATTAATCCAGAATGCCTCGAGAGTTTTTCGCGCCTGTGTTCTTGAATCGCGTGCGAGGATCGTGACACATACTTCAAAGTCCTCCCCGTTATGTCTCTGGGTCAATACACTTTCTCCGCCGCTGTCTAAAACACCGAGTCGTTCCGAACTTCATCAAACGAAGACGACTACACGACGCGTAGTGACGACTTGGAAACCTCATAGGAAGAGATGAGTGTGCAAAGCTGTGTTCAAAGTGATTGAAATATTGGTTTGGAGTTTCTTTGTTTGGTTATGGAGGCGTTTGGCCGAGTAGATTGCTATCAACTTGACCTTTCCAGGCTCTGAGGAAGGCGAAATCCGCCGAAACATCAGCTTATTCGTGACTAAAGAATAATAACGCCTCGCGTTTGCTCAACAAAAATACGAATTACTTGATCAATGCCGAGGTTAATAGAAAGTCGGTTGTGGGAGTTAAGTTGTTTTGTTACAAAGATTTTGAAAGGAACGAAAACAAGACTTTAATGTTCTAAAAAGCAAAACGCTACCGTAGGTGCAAGTGATATACACATTGAGTAAAAAAACACCGCTGTGCGCTGCCGGGCAAAATTCCAACAGACACAATTCCTATCGCGTTCGATAGATGAACTTCATTGGAAAAAAAAGTAGAAGAAAAGTGAGTTTCATAGGCACCAAGAAATCAGAATCCCATCGTGCAAAACAATGAATGTTTTTTATTGGCAGCGATCACTAAATTTTAACTGTTTTAATTCCAATTAATTCCAATTAAGAACGTTTGCTATATGAAAGAACCATAACATACTGTGCTCAACGCTGTTCAAGTGGTACTGGATAATAATTTACCTCAAGAGCACAGTTAAGAAGTCGGACAACAAGTTCGAATTGTGCAGGTTGTAGCATTGCTCTTGTAACGGGCACTGCTGCATTTGCGAGATGACGACAAAGGGTTACCCGAGCGGTTACTACTCGAAGCGACAATTCTACAGCACACATCATCTGAACAACGACCCCATCATTCATAAACAAAGGGACAAAATTAGTGCATATATTGCAAGTGTTCAAGAAAATACGTCAGCGAAACTACGATGAAAAACACACAGATTATAGAATAAATTTACCTTTCTCGCTTCGGATATATGATTATCAAAGATCGCATTTATACAAGCACTGAGAACCTGAGAACAACATAGATATGGTCAAAAATACACAAGAAGCCAGAAAACTTGTGATTCTTTATTCGGAAACAACTTCATCTGTTGGAGATGCAGCAAGGAATTACTGGAAACAAAAAGTACCAAAAGCCGTCGACTATTAGCACCAAGATGCTCTTCGTACAAATTTAGTTTCTCAGGTACAGGTACGATCTAAAATTCACATCTTTAACAGAGTTCACAATATAAATGCAAAGTTTCCTCCACCTTACGGCACAGTCGATCTGGATCGTCAAGATTCCACTGTAGGCGATTCTGTTCAACGAGGTTATTAATCTGCAAAGAAACTCGACTACGAAAGCTTTGAGGTGGACAGTATAGGGTTACAGAAAAAGTACTCTTTCATCACTAATTTCTCGGCCAGTTGTACAATCGTGCATTACGGAATCACCATTTGCGAAGGAAAGTGAAGCTCGTTTAGACAGTGTCGGCGTCGTTGTCATTATACGTTCTTGCTTCTCCTAAAATTATAATAGGCACCTATCTCGTAAAATTATCCTCAATTTATGAGAATGATCAATCAAACATATATACAATAGAATTCAGTTAAACGCTTCTGAGTCATGGACTTCATGGATCTCCCTCGTAGAGAGATCTCAAGCCGGTTAATCGGGAGGAAAAGTGTGGCATGTTGCTAGGCTGCAGAGAGGGGGTCAATTGTGGAACATAAGCGACCTTACCCAATTCGGGCAAAAGCTTGCAATCAAGTGACAGAGAAGTATGTGAATGTGGGAAGCGGTTAGGAGTCGCCTCCAACAAATAAGCTCGACGTCTACTCTAGGAGAGAATGGCAAGCTACCCGTGAGTATACCCAGGCTCCACGTTCAGAGATCAGCAAGCTATACGTGGATATCAAGAAGCTAAATACAGTAAAAGAAACGGGCCTCATTTCCCTGACCCCGAAAGAGCACCATTCTGCAACGTAGCGTTGGTCGTAGGACGCGCACGGAGAGGTTGCTAATATCTCAGGGCCACTCTAAGCTTCCTAAATCACAAAAGACTAAGGTGACAAACTGTACCTACAATCCATGCACATTTGTATCTGAGTCCTCGAAAGAAGACGAGCATGGAGGCAAGAAGGGTAGGGTAAAACATCATCGGACTGGCTGAGACGAGAAGACGCCACGCATTCAACTCCCTCTCTCGGAACTTGCGAGAGTAGAGGAGTTGGCGACGTCGGCGTTCTGGTCAACACAAGTTTGGCCATAAATACCTATGCACTAAAACAACTAACAACCCGAATCGGACATTTATCGTTGAAGAGAACAATCAATAACGGCTTTGACAACCTCGCCGTCCACTCACCATCATCAAGCTATGACGAGAAGTCGAAGCGATTTATATGGATTGGAGAAGTTCTGCAGCGAATACCATGAATTCTTTAAGGCCATGATCGAAGATTTCAACGCTAATATTGGACTAAGAAGAATGCCAGAAGAAAGTCACTCTGGAACCTACAGATCACGAGTTGAACGAGCAGGGTGAGTGTCTGTTTGAGTTCATCATGACAATCAAGAGCATTAATGGCAACTCGCAAATCCAGAAGCTCCACTCTCAACGATGGATGTGGAAGTCTCCCAATAGAGCTTTCCGAAATCCGATATGCCATTTCGTCGACGAAAAATCGAACAGCACCAGGTCCGGACGGGATAAGATCAGAACACCTGGAGAACTCTCCGCCAGTCCTCGTAAACATACTGGTTCGGCTCTTCACACGTTATCTGTCTGAAGGCAAGGTCCCGACTCAGTCGAAGATTAGTAAGACCGTGTTTTTGTTTAAGAAGGGTGACCTACACGATATCGGTAACTATCGCCCAATCTGCATGCTGTCTGTCGTCTACAAACTTTCACTAGAGTCATCCTAAACAGGATTGACAGAACACCTGACGAAGGACAGCCATGTGAGCAAGCAGGGTTTCGAAAAGGATTTAGTATGATGGACCACATCCACACGATAACAAGGCTCACTGAAGTATCGCGAGAGTAAAAAGACCGCTCTGTCTCACTTTCATCAATTTAAAGAAGGCCTTTGACTCAGTTGAGATAGGAGCAGTCATGGAAATCCTGGAAAGTCAGGGAGTCCCTATTCAGTATATAAAGATCATTCGGGAGCTGTATGAAAAGTTCGACAACCAGATATCACCATTCTATAGCGATGTTAACACCGACGTCAAAAGAGGGTTAGGCTAGGCGATATCATCTCGCCAAAGTAATTTCCCGCTATCCTAAAGGACATTGTGTGAACAGTGGAATGGGACAATATAGGATTGAAAATCGGTGATCGGCAATTACACTATAATCGCTTTTCTGACAACGTTGTTCTTATGACACCAAACATTAGCCAGGTGGAACAAATGTTTGCCCACTTTGATAACTCCGGTGGAAAGATTGGTATTCAAATAAATCTCAGAAAGGCGATGTTTATAAGGAATGAATTTGGTTTCGTATACCTCATTCACGCTCAAGGGTACGAATTTCACCGAATGCTTCACCTAGGTCTGCCTAGTTCGAGAATTCAAGATGATTAACTACTTAGTTCAAGAGTTGAATAGGATACAAGCGGTCTGGTGAACTTAAAAGAGCATTGAGGATTTAGCGAAGAAAACAAAGAACCACTGACTCCGTAAACACCTTTTCGACTCCATGATACTTCCTGCCTTAACGCATGCTTCAGAAAACTGACCGCTGCGTAAGCAGAATGAGGGACCATTCTGCGTGATTGAAAGCACAGTGGGAAGGACGGTGATAGGAGCTCCCCGTATCACACAAGAGAAACTGCGGTTCCGAAGCTCTGATCTACTTCAGCAACCAGAAATTAAAGCCGGCATCCTCTACAGCAAACTGTCAAAAATAAGGTGGACTGGACACCTAATGTGTGCTGATAACAACCAATGCACAAGAGTGGTTCGTAATGTCAAACGTCAAGATGTCAAACGTACAGCAAGAAGACCATCGACCCGATGGTCAGAGTTGTTCACGAAAACGGTAGAAAAAAGATATGATGTTCAACGAACCCCAAGAGTGGACAGAACCCACTGGGTTAATGTTGGACGCAACAGGGAGAAATGGAAAATTTAGTGGCGTCCGCTCGTGTCACTCGACGATCAACGGAACGGTAAGTGATACTGGTAACCATGAGCTGTTTCGCCTCGTAACAAATTCTGGAGATGTTCCAATTAAAATAGCTTAGGAGACCGAAACGTATCAGAAGCTTGTTCATCTCTTTTTTACCTCTTCATCTTGAATTAAAAATATAGACACGTTTCTGTGACAGACAATGATCCATTACTTTCCTAAGGGTTTGACAGTCAACATGCTGAGCACCATTTTAGCATATGTGTAAAAAAGCGTTAAAATTTCAGATGTTGGAAGGCCATAGTAAATAAAACCTGGGCTTCAAAATTATTTCTTGGAAGCAAAAGTAATAATTTGATTTAATGTGCATGTTTGGAATTAAGTCCGTCTCATTAATTTCACATTTTACCATTTCACGCTTAATAAAACTGCTTGTTAAACCCTTCCTAATATTACGCAGTTGAAGAATGAACCTGTTTAATAAAGAATTAGGCAAAATTACATTGATTAGCAGAGTTGAACTAATCTTTGTCAGCCTTTGCTTTTCTTCCAACAAATCTAAGTCATCGTCTTCAATGGTTGCCGAGCATACTACCTGAAGGATTACTAATAATAAACTAATTAGTAAATACAGTGGTTTTATACTCATAGAATTGAATTTACTGTACCTCATCAAAAATATCGCACTCTCTATATGGCAAACCTCGAGTAGCTACGAAAAGCTGGAACATTTGTCCCTCGATGAGATCGTGAAGGAGAGGGGAATTTAAACGTCTGCATTAGTACGATCAATAAGTAAGTAGGAAGTACAATTGTAGGTGTACAAAATACGACAAACCTCATGCCCATAAAAGCAGCTTTATGGAACACGATAAGTGGATGACGATGGAGACGTACAAGCTCTAGGCACGAACGATAGCCATACAGCAGTTCCGCAAAGAAAACAATGAAGCAGGAACGGATTTCCTTGTCCTTAATAACACTGTCCATAACATTGCGCTCAGATTGAAAGAAAAAATTCGGTCCTAGGTTCCAAACAGATCAGGAAATCGGAAAAAAAAGTGGGAAAGGTTAGGTTAAAAATGCCTCACCAGAACCGATTTCCAAAAGAAAAGTGGTAATTCTATATATACAAAGATGTGCCAGGAATGATCTTATTGCGATTTCATGTCTCACAAAGGAAACAAGAACGAACCTATGCTATCGGCCGTTTAAGCACGATCGTTTATATGCAGAACTCCTACTACTACAATCAACGGATGTTCTTCAAAAAGAAAAATGTAAATTCGAGAGACTGATAGGGAACTCCAACGGATTTTTACCAATAGGGAAGGACCTGCTACTCATAGGCTTGTCATTTGAAACAGGTTCTAAAGAAAATTCATATATGAAGTACTTTTTAATCTCAGCGTAATTTACGATAACCATTTAGGTTAATCAAACATGTGATACATACCAGCAAGTGTGGTTCCGGTGGGGGCGGCAAAGCAACAGGTAGAGCTAGATCAGCCGTAGCTAGTTCGGGATTAAGAACCTAGAATTCCACTGCTTGAATGAATAGAAACCAGCTTATGGAAATTTTATAGCCTACCCTTTGCAAGCGATATATCAAACGTTCACGGAACGGTGATGGCAACTCAGCAAGTTGAGTGTTCTCCGGCAGACGTACTTCACCTGTATCCAGATCTACCACTACAGCATCCACAGGAGGCAACTGTGAATCAAAACATCACCCCTTACAGATACTTCATACACATGAATAAAAAGCAGTTACCTTTTCTCTTACTTGTGACAATACACCCATTAAATAAGGTGTGGGGCTTTCCAAGTATTCCAGCAGCAGCTCTGGCAATGCCGTCACAAAAGTATACCTAAATGTACGTAATATCGAAAACAGCAAGAAATCTTTGTTTTTTGCAACCAGGAAAAAAAACAACGAATGGTAATCTCAGTTTCCGGTATAAAGGACTTCATTTAAGACGAATACAACGAGAGAGGATACTTGCCAACCTAAGCCATTAAAAATATTATTTTCATCCAGATCAGCCATATTTTGAAAAGCAGGCAGGAAATCTTGCTTATACCAACTTACTTGGATGCTTAGGTTTTGTAGCCTTCAGCATAATCTCCACTTTCTCGGAGTTTTGCTGGTTCGTCCAATGTGGTTCCGTGGAGTTCCGAGGGCAGTCTGGCCAAAGTCTACCCCAGGTCGCCAACACCAGAAGCGGTCACCGTCCATGTGGCTCAGAGGGAGATTTGCCACCATGCAATTAGTTTGATACCAAGCCGATGGTGGACTGGTATTGGTTTACTCTTAGCTGGGCTTGCTGATGGAAACGGCGCACTCCTCAGCTTGGAAGACCCTGCTGGGGGGATGGATGAACCTCTGCTGTACATCGCAGGTCAACACTCAGGAACACCTCCCAGCCACGATGAGACGGTAAACCGTTGGGAGGAATCCTGATTGTAGTAGAAATTATTGGTGAATATTCTCAATATTTCATCTTACTATACATTCCCTGTATTCAGCAAGCACAACTCTTAGTGGTGTCCACTCTTCTCCTGTGATCTATTTACAATCATCTGACATAAGACCCACGTTTTCGTACTACATCGCCACCAATCAATAACAGCCGGGTAAGGAAGGATTGTCTTGAACCTCCATTTTGTGACATCTCCTACCATTTCAAACAAAACTAGCGTCACAGCATTCAATCGGCCGTTAATGACATTGTTTGCACCTCCTTGTTTCGTTATTTCATGAAATAGACTTTGAATACCGCTATCGTGGAGCTCCATTTCTGTTGACCAAACCGAGGCACAATCGTTGCAGTTTCCGTTGCAGCACTGCGTTGATTTACCACACGCCCCTATTCGCCGTAATCGTTTCACCAGCATGTAACAAGCTTCATAAGTCAAATCAATTGTACACCACCATACGGTCAGAATGACCTTGTTCTTGCCATGTCGAAGTTGGGAAATGCGCGGCGAAGAGTAGCGTTATCGTGGTCCAACAACTGAGCCGATCTTCACCAGTTATCCTAGATGATCCATTTATTGCCGCATTTCACAATATGGTCGAAAAACCGGTTGTCTTTAGTTGCAAAGGAGAAGAAATACGGCCTTGGTGTAGAGATCGATACATCAGATCACTGAAGTGACTGATGAGCTACAATTCGTAATGAAGCAGTGGTAGAATTAGTGTTCGTATTACAAGTAAATGGTTGAATAGTCGTTCCATCGTGTGAGTGGCAATGTTCCACTCTCGAAACTGAATTTTTTTGTCATGCTTTTTTCGTAGGAAGATTTGCAATGAAGGAGTGTTAGCTTTCTTGGTTGAGTTGATCGTGAACGACGAATTCTTTGGTTGCCATTCAACTGATGCGGCACCAATTGGGAGACCTTTCTTTGACTCCAAATATTCATCCAATGCTTCGAAACATTTATTATGTATACAATGAGTTTCTCTGCAAGTTCTCAACAGTTGTGCGACTGCTTCGTCCAAACTTTTCAATACATCGTCGTCAACAACGCAAGGGCGTATGCGTCTTCCCTCAACTTCAAGGTTGAATTTATCGCAACAAAATTTCCCAACCCAACGTTTATTATAGCAATCAAGAGAAAAAAAACTGTTGATAAGAAATACTTAACAAGTGATAAGTGAAATAACAAACCGTATATCAATTCCCAAAAAATTTAATAATTCGCACTTCACTAATCTACTTTACAAGCCTCTAACTTATGGTTAACGCAATTCCAAACGCGTACTGTTCTTGCCTACTGGACCACGTTAATGTGTAACATGCTATGCGTACAATTTTAGATCTTAGTGAGCGTTCGTTGTGTTTTTATTGCATATAGATATATGCACATTACATAGACATACACTATACACTTATGCATGCTGAGTTTGAGGTAACGCTGCAAATCAAAAAGACCCCTTGTGGCAAAATACACGACATTTCACTACACTATTCAGTAAGTTGGTACATCTCTTAATAACTCAAAATGCCGACTTTCTATAAATTTCAGCATAAATAGCCGACATATTTATCTATATGTTCTTGCGATCTACCATTGAGCTGATGCAAGGTTGGTATACGTTGTTGTTGTTGTTTGGTTGCTGAAGTTTCTGCGATTTCGCCTTCGTCACAGCTGTGATATTGCGAGTGATGATGGTGAGTCCCACTCGCACCATCAAAGCTGTGGGGAAGGCGAAATCGCCGAAACTTCAGCAACCAAACAACAACAACAACTTATACCAACTTCGCATCAGCTCAACAAGAGCAGTTCGTAAGAATATATAAAGAAATACTCGGTAGGTATAGAAATTATAGGAAGAAAAATGGTAAGTGTAAGAAAAGGAAAATGCTTGGTAGAAAAAATAATGGGCGAAAAACAATCCGTTCGTTGACCTATGCCCATATATTTCACTTCTAGGAGAGCGCTATTACAGATATCGTAATCGATGTAACTCCTTTTCTATAATTATTTTGAGAAAGAAAAAAGAAGCTCACGTGTACTCAAAAGGAAATATAATCGATTTAATTGCATATGCAGAATCGGAGAGACGTTGTTGTGATGAACTATGCAGTATGATTTTGGTGTCACATAACACAGCTCTTACTACCGTGAGGAAATTAAAAATCGAACCTAAAACACGTGGACAAAGAATAAATAAAAAAGGATTTACCAAGTAATAAAGGTCTGGCGAAATAAAGTATTAGCAAAGAATCCAGAATTTTATTGTGCTAAATAAAAGAACCTAAGCATTTAAAGAAGCGCGTGACACGATCGCCTGTCAATGGAACCCGTCGCTGTAGTATGGGCTGGACAGAGATTCGCTCTCCTCCCATTGTGAAGCTAATTGGAGTTCTTAAAACTATGGTAGCAAATTTTGCTACTATTGAACAATCAGAAGATCTACATTGAAAACGGATATACCTGCCAATTAACAAAATCTTGCTAATTATGGTCGCAATCATCACTTCTGCTGCATTTACATCGCTCTGAAGTGCAATGAAGATACGATGAAGACATGTCTTAAATTATCTAATCGTAATTGTAATAGCCTTTACATTAACAGCGACTCATTATAAGAAGCGAATGAAGACTTACTCGAAATAAATCAAAGTAAGGATATCGTGAAAGTATCACGTACACTCGAGGGCGATAGAAGGAGCTCGAAGGATAACAAGACCCTTCACAGTCCTCTGCAGGACTGCCAAAACACGGCTCATATACCTACAATAACTGCAGAGATCACGCTATTGTAAATACTCACTAATTTGCAAAACCTTTATACATGTGCACATATGTGTATTATATACGTACATATATATGTATACATGAAACCATTAGTTCAAACAATCAAGAAGACTGCTATGCTCGTACGATAAACTTAACAAGAGGGATGAATGAACAAATTGAAACTGAAAAGGATGCCGAAGCTTTTCAAACTTTGCCGGTGATAATTGTCTACAGGTCAGCTTAGCACAGTACTTTCTAAGGCCTGGTGTTCAACTTCTAAATAAAAAAGAAAAGTTTTCAATTTGATTCATTCCCGAAGACATGGTTTATTGACTCATAACCGAAAATTAACTATAGAAAAAACCTTCCACACAAACCAGGCCGCGATCATACCTCTAAGGCATGGTTGTTTTTGCATCTACCGCGATTTCTATCCAAACTGAAGAATTAAATATAACCAGTAGTGGTAGATAGCACATAAGCCCCAGCAAAGAGTAATCTCGGGTTCGAAGCATGTCTATGGTTCCGAAGTTTGCTTATATTTTAGCACCCTTGTAGTTGTATTTCACATTATATCTTGCCATGAAAGAAGAATAGGCAGTAAGTCAACGTTAAAATATCGGGATTTCATATGCTTGAAGGAATTTGATATAGCTTAGCTAACCAAGGCGAAACTACTCATGGATAATCGTGTAACCAAAAAAGTTAACAGTAAAGTGAGATACAAAAACTGTGAAGCTCTTGCTGTTCTTCGAGCGGGTGCAGCACATTGGGTAACCCGAGAATGCAACACAGTAAAACGATGACTTCAATGCTTTCACACTTAAGTCACTCGATGACCTACGCGGGTTAAAAGTAATATAAAACAAGAGAACAGACTTTAACGGCATGCTAACAATTTACATTCTTGTTCATTGAGTTATCAATGACATAATAAACCTTTTGAGAAAATGAACAACTCATTTGGACTACATCGCTGAAGATTTCAATCTCTTATGGGAAAAAAATCAACAATACTAAACATTTGCATTTACCTGTAAACAACAAGCATATTGGTGAGCTCCCATAAGATCGGTAAGGGTGCACACAAAAAAGGTAGGGTCGAGCTCTTTATAAGCAAGGCTCCAGCCACTGGGAACACAAAACTATAACACAATAGATAGCATATAGATGAATAAATTTTGAAAACATGCTGCCGAAAAATGTTAGTTTTTCATAGCTGAATTTTTAAGCAAAATAACAATCCCCAAATCAGCATTACTTGCCGCTTAAGAATGAAGTTTCCAAGTAAGTCGATCAAAATGCCTCAACTAATACTTAAGTCATGGGGTAGTTCGCAATAAAGGTGATACAAATAGACTAAACCACTAAGGACTAGGTGTTCCGGATGAATTATACCTAACTCTGTATGATAATACCGCTACACAAGTACAAAAATAGCGGTAGTTTAATTTACTATGAAACTTATAGACAAACTTAACAAAGAATGAACGCTTCCGCTATTAGTGTGCATCACCTTAAAGCTTATCTCTTCGTCAGTGCTTTTACATGTAGCAGCTTTTTCTCCCACTCAACTTACAATTTTAGATCCTAGAATTTAAATGATACCACCAAACACGCATTGTTTCTCATAGTAAAATGAAGATTGAAGATTTAAATAAATCGTAGCTCAGACAAGTGCTTCCTATGGCACAGTGTACAAAGAGCTCGAAATTTTGTACTGAAGGTACGACTTTCGATATAGCATAAGGTCGTGATCCGTGCATCGAACGAACACAGTTGAAAGTGAACCCAGTAAAACCGCTCGAGAGGTAGCAGAATAATCAGAGTTTGCAACTCAGAAATTGTTTGCCAATTCAAAAATGTTGCCATACGTATTTGGACAAGAAGTAAAGAAATTATCATTATGTAATAGATGACATACAATGTCATGGTGTGGTTCAAAAGTGCCAAAATCTACAAAATTTTTGTCCCGAAATTGTCAAAGTAAAAGACTCAGTCTTGCACTAAAATGCTATATGACATATTGCATAACTAACGCTTCAAAAATTGAACGAACTGAGCTATGAAATTCCACCTTTCAGCAAAAAATTGTTAACGTGACCTCGATAACTAATTCGAAGGATACGTCTTTAACAACAGCCAACACCTTCGAAGGTTTTCATGTTTCACCACAACCGGAATCCTGAGCTACCAGAACAAACACTTGTCTTGTGTCTGTTGTCAACAATGTGTAGATTCTACTGGTCTCCATGAGTTTCAGACGAATAGCAGAATTTCAAAAAAAGTGGTTTAAAATAGCAACTATTTTCGCATTGACCTACACACCAAAGAAATTTGTTATTTTTTGAAAATAAAGACAGCACTGTTTAAGGTTCTTCTTAGACTTTAAAAATTTACAAACAACTCGCCATAGAAATACTATTAGGAAACGGTACATCCGACCACTCGATGGTTGGTAGTCGTCGAGTCACAACTCCGACACTACTTCCATGCTCTTAACGAAACAATAAGAGACATCTATTAAGAAGTTAATACAAATGAGATCATCAGTAGCTCACTGATCTGTGTTTCGTCAAGTTGTAATTCGACGAAGTAGTCTGCGAGGCGTGGCGTACACTGCCTTTCCACCTCGCTGCCACTCATCTCCTCGTCATCGAAATTTGAACGCTCGACGGAAACATATGCTGGAGACTCTGAATGATTAATGAAAGAAAGGAAACAAGAAAAACTTTAACGACTTCCTATATTAAAAATACGTACGACAAGTAGTCAGTTAAAAATGGGACATTCAACACTCCGCTCACGTTCATCATGAAAGCAGGGACGTTAGTTTTTAGAGGTAAAATGCTCACCAGACTCCGTCTACGCATTATTTTCACGCTACCACTAAAGTTGGCCGTAAAATTTGCGTGAACTGATACGCTAAGCCACGGTGATCTCTCATATGAGGGATCTCGAGGTTAGTCGCGAGGCTACGTGGCGCGTCCCCAGGTGGCACATAGGGGGTTAATCGCGGAACAAAAGCAACATCCGCTTCCCTGAGAAGCAGATGGATTCGGGAGATGGACTCCCTGTTCCTGCTGCGCCAATATGGCAAATAATCTCCGCATTTACGAAGCGTATTCGTGCACGAGTGTGTGGGTGCTTTCAAGTTTATGCGAATTCTACTCTACGAGTCAATTCACTAAAAACCGGCAATCAAGTGAAAGGAAAATATATGGGAGGCAGTTAGGAGTCGCCCTCAACAAATAAGCTCCATTTCCACTCTGGAAAAGACGGGCAAGCTACCCATGAGTATACCCAGCCCACATTCAGAGCCCAGCAATCCACACGTGGGTATCAAACTTCTCAATATGACCCCGAAAGAGCCTCCTTTTCGGCAGCGTTGAGTAGGACGAGTATGAAGAGGCCGCTAACATCTCAGGGCCAATGGAAGCTGACTGGATCGCAAAGAACTAAGGTGACGATCAGTATCTAAAATGCACGTGCACACGTGCACTTGCATCCGAGTCCTCGATAGAAGACTTGTTCATGCAAGCAAGAAGGATAAGGTACGACGTCATCGGCATGGTGGAGACGAGACGACACCACACATTCAGCGCATCTATGACACCGGAGAAGAACTGTTCCACGGAATATGCGACAGTAGAGGAGTCAGCACCGTCGGCGTTCTCGTCAGCATGAGTTTGTCCATTAACACTGATTCATTCAAACAACAAACAACCCAAATCGGATGTTTACGATTAAAAAATGTGCATCAATTCGGCTTTGACAGTCTTCGTCGTTTATGCGCCGACATCGAAATATGACAAAGAAGTTTAAGCGTTCTATATGGACTTGGAGAAATTCTACAGAGAAGACCACACATTCTTCAAGGTCATCGTTGGAGATTTCAACGCCAAGCTTGGACCAAGAAGAATGTCTGAAGAACGTCACATTGGGACCCACGGATTAGAATGGAACGAATAGGATGAGCGGTTATCTGAGTTTATCATGGCGACCAAGACAATCCATGGTAACTCGCAATTCCAGAAGCTCCACCCTCAGCGCTGGGCGTGGTAGTCTCCCAATGGAGAGTACCATAACGAAATAGACCACATCATAGTAAATAGAAAGTTTTGCCTAACCGATGTCGCTTCTCCTCCTTCGAGCAAGATTCCATTTTTCGCACAAAAGAGAAGAAGCCGCTAAATTAAAAAACGAAGACCCATAATAACTATAAATTGGGACTTATTTAACTCATCAGTCGGCTGTTGGGATAATGCCGTAGACGATAACATCGAAAAGGAATACGATTGGCTCACTCAACATCTTCACGTTAGCGCAATGAAAGCTGAGAGCTCGAAAGTCACCGAGAGACGTGTCTCGAGAAACACTCGAGCTGATACGCCTGTGGGAAATCGCGCAAGCTACAGGCAACCACGAACTAACGTCCGAACTTGCAAAAAAGTGCAGAAAAGAACACCTTAGAGAAAGAAGAGCAGCACTAATAGTCCAAACGGCAGAGGTCTGGAAAAATATTCGCAAAGCACACCGATGCTTCGCCAATTAAAAGACCAAGATGATTGCAGTTTGACGCACAGACGGAACAGTTACAGCGTCCAGAAAGGCAATGGAGACGAATACTACTCCGATCCCTTCGATAGCCACGTCCGCCTTCCGTCGTATGAAATAAAGGGGGATTGATATGTTGTACAACTGTTTTTGCCTTCCGAAATCCGACATGCCATCTCGTCGACGAAAAATCGAACAGGACTATATCCTGACAGAACAAGGCCACAACACCTGAAGAAACTTCCGCCAGTCCTCGTAAACACACTGGATCGGCTCTTCACACGTTATCTGTCCGAATGCAAGGACCCTACTCAGTGGAAGATCGTGCTATTGTTGAAGAAGCGTGACCACCACGATATCAGTAACTATCCCCTAATCTGCTTGCTATCTGTCGTCTACAAACTTCCCACTCGAGTCATTCTAAACAGGACTGACAGAACACTAGAAGAAGGACAGCCATGTGAGCAAGAAGGGCTTCGAAAAGGATTTAGTACGATAGACCACATCCACACGGTAACATAGCTCATTGAAATATCGCGAGAGTATAAAAGACCGCTGTGTCTCATCTTCATCGATTTGGAGAGGGTCACTAACTTAACTGATATAGAAGCAGTCTTGGAAGCTCTTGATACTCAAGGAGTCCCCACCCAGTACATAAAGATTCTTCGTGAGCTGTACAAAAATTTCACAACCAAGATGTCACCATTCTAGAACGATATTAACATCGACGTCAAAAAAGGAGTTAGGCAAGGAGATACCATTTCGTCGAAATTATTTACCACCTCCCTCGATAACGTCATGCAAACATTGGAATGGAATAATATGGGGGTGAAAATCGATGGTCAGCAATTACACCACCTTCGCTTTGTTGATGACATCGTCCTTATAACAGCAAACATTAGCAAAGCGGAACGAATGCTTGCCGATTTTGTCAGAGCCTGTGGAAAGATTGGCCTTCGACTAAATCTCATAAAAACGATGTTGATGAGGAACGGATTGGTTTCGTATTCCCCATTCACGCTCAACGGAACGAATATCTCCGAATGCTCCGGTTATGTCTATCAAGGTCGGGAAATCAATATGATGAACGACCTAGCTCCAGAGTTGAGCAGAAGGAAACGAGTGGCTTGGGGATCTTTCAAGAGCATCGAGGATGTAGTGAAGTGAACAAAATACACCCGATTCCGTGTCCACATTTTCGACTGAACGGTACTTCCTGCTCTAACGTATGCGTCAGAAACCTGGTCGCTGCGTAAGCAGGATGAAAGATCACTCAGCGTTATTGAACGCGCAGTCGAAATGACGATGCTAGAAGTATCCCGTTTCACACAAGAAGGGGAAAGTATCCGAAGCTCCGACCTACGAGAACGATTAAAAACCAAAGATGCTGTTCTGTACGCCAAACAGTCGAAGGCAAGGTGGGTCGGACACGTAATGCGTATGAATGACATCCGATGGACAAGAGCCATTAGTGACTGGATGTCTCGGGATGTCAAACGAACTGCAGGAAGACCACCGACCCGATTGTCAGAGTTCTTTATGAAAAACCTGGCAATATTACTAAATATGAACAAAACAATGTAATGTAAGTAGTGAGCGAAGGACTACAGAGGACACGTTTATGGAACATTGCCCGAGTACGGTATACTGGAGCGCTCTACGTGTACAGATGTTGAAACCCGAGCTCATACAATAAACGGCCAGTTATACTGGTCCTCTCTTATAGCATTCAGATGACGCTTGTAGCAACAGCGCTGAATAGTAATCGCCTTTGGAATTATTTGCAATCAATACAATGTCTTTTTCACAGAAATGCGTTTGATGAAACTGATTTTGCTCACCGACTGAGAAATATGTCTTAAATTAATTCTGTTCTTCCAAAGGTATCTCAGTAGCTTTCACTACCCATCGTGGCCATTTCCACACTGCAAGAATGCCTCCAGTTAAGTACAACCTGCTTAAGAAATTTGTTGCAAAAGCAAATTCTGCCTCTCTTCAGTGAAAAGAAAAGGAAAACATCGTCAGCATCCCTCTTACCAATTCCTGCTCTTCAACTTATGAAGTTATACCACGCCGTTGTCGATAAATGCCAACAATACTCTCACTATATCATCTTCACATTTGAAAAGCAACAATACCACAGGCATTTCACCACTATCAGCACATATATTCAAGAAAAAAAATCTTGTTATCAGACAAAAGGTGACACGAATAGGATCCCTTTCCTTTATGATACGAACAATATCGTCGAACATACAGAGTCAAATGCATTGGTGTAAAATCGGGTAATCAAATTGAGGAACAATACCGGATAGTGGAAGGGTTAAGCCATATGCATTGATACTATTGAGACCACACAAATCAGTAGCTCATATAGTTCAAAATAATTGAAACGATATGCTAAAAAAAGAACACTCTGCCACCATGTTAAAAATTGCTTAGGCGTTCATAAATTGCAGTCGACGCTGAATGTAATGGGATAAAAGACCACGAAATAAAACAACACTATGATGAGCACTGTGTATCGTTATAAGCGTAGATTAAAAGAAATAAACCAAAGAAAAAACAAATCTCAGGGGGCGGGAAGTTCGTAGAAACGTAGATTACAACACTACATACGCAGTGAGACGGTAGGCAAAACTATGGCTACATTGAAAGCACTCAATTCATTTGAAAGTAGCATTAGCACATCGAAAAATAAACTATGAAAAATAATCTAGCTAAACTATGTGGTGCCCTATAAGCATAGGGCTTAAGACTAAATCAGTTGTATCTATAGGATTTACACGGTGAGCAGCCAGTAATGGGAAAGTGCGGACGAACAGATGAGAAAAGCGTGAATCCCCACTCGCCATACTACCTATACCTGTTATGCACCCGAGCGTATGAATTGGCGCTTAAATGACTAGAAAGCAGGGAAACAATGCTAATGCACTGCATTATGGAGTCAAATGGTAGCTATAACCTACCCTCAACTAACATTTTCATGATTCCAAGTCAATGGATCATGTAACAAGAGGGCAGCATGAATTGATAATCAGCAAGATGAAAGAAGGAACAAACATTGAAACGGATCTCCACTGAAAAAACTAAATTGAAATACAGACGAGGGAAGGGCCGGAGCAAGGGTGTCTGCAAAACGTAAAAGCTTATGATTTCCGGTACTATTCCATAACACGTATAATATTGAAGAAATAACGCCTCCTATCCATCTAATATCATACCAAGTACTTGTTAACAACAAAAAAAACTTTAGATGTAATCCTATCCTAACTCTATTCAAGCAAAGGGTACAAAAATCTAGCAGCTATAGCTACTACGATAACATCTAAGCAAATAGGCATGCATTGTGTTCATGAAAATAGAAGAGATGGCTCACAATAAGTAGAAAATTAAAGACAACAATAGGGTTATTGATTAAACAGTCTTGCATTTAAATTTAGGAAGAATTAACAGTTAGAACATAAGAATTGTAAAAGAGCAGTTGTCTAAATGAGTCAACCCTCACTAACTAATCAATATGCAGGAAGGATTAAAAGTGAAAAATAAAAATTGTCTACAGTAAGTATCTAGAAACGTCAAGTCTCACCGAATAATCAATATGTTAGAAGAATTAAACGTTAAAACGTAAAAATTGCAGTACGATAGATGTCTAGAAGCGTCAAATCTCACTAAATGATCAACTCTCAACGAGAGTAATAGAAATGCCAGTTAAATGAAAAGTGTTAATATACTTACATTCATATTCATTAGAAAAATATATGTAACATCGTCGTTGAAAGAATGGATGAAAACCACTCAAACAACGATATTTACCGTTGGTAGATATCAGTAAAACCAATGTTCATAAATGGCTCATGCATAATACGTGAGGTCTTTGAAGAGCACAGTATCAATACTAAAAAGAAAAAATGTAGAAAATTCGTGATTTAAGGCCAAATATTTCTAAACGATGATGACTACAACTGCGTTTGTTGAGCGAGTACACGATAACCTGAGTACATTCATCGCTACTGCGAAGTAATACTCGGCGAATTCGTGTCAATAGCTGATGATGAGCTACCATTCTCACTCGATTTGCAATCATCCTAAATGGAGTAAAACGACAGCAAGATGTCTAAAAAAAGAAAAAAAAAGAATAAGAAAAAACTTTCATGAAGTTGAAAACCTAACACTGCTTAGAAAGAAAGTGTTTACACTCTAGCAGCGCGAATTATTCAAGAAAATACGACCACTCTGGGTACCCCGATACGCATACAAAATCCACCATATATTTTTTTTAAAAGTACATGGACATATAATGGGAATATTATTTGCAAGGCGCTATCTTAGAAAAAACACTTTGGAAGCAAAGTGAACAATGGTAAAGTTCCGATTAAAACAACACAACACTATTACGACCCCTTAAGGAAAAAAGAAGCGATTTGAAAAGCAACAGAAGAGTCTATGTGTTAAAAGAGAGTCAGGCTCGTCACCAACCACTTCTCAACAACGACTACGATCCATTCTTTGCATCAAAAAAAAAAAAGAAAAAAAAATAATTGAAGCTCACTAGAGTGCAAAACTCATGGTGAAAATTTTAGCAAAAGGAAGAAATATGGAGATTCTATAAATCCTTAGTACGATATAACAAATAAAGTGGAAAGTGGGAATAAAGAAATCCCTCGCAGAAGCTACAATATTGAAAAGAAAACGGCCGCCACTAATCGTCAAAGCATAGTTGGACTGGGCATAAAAATGTCTCAAAAAGTGACTTTATACTTGTAGGTTATACACATATATATATAAATATATACGTATATATGTATGTTTATTCACATGTAATTTATATTTCTTACTATTTCGTCCCTCACAACGGTTTGCCGCCTCATCGTCGCTAGGTGTTCCTAGGTGTTGGGCTTCGATGAACAGCAGGAAAATTTATCCCACCAGCACAGTCACCCAAGTTGAGGATCCCGGAATTTCCATTAGAAAACCCAGGTAAGAGTAAACCAATACCACGATCCACCACCGACCTGGTATCAAACTAGTCGCATGGTGGCAAATCTCCCTCTGAGCCACAACGGCGGTGACAGAGTGTGGTGGTGACGACCTGGGGCAGATATTGGTCTGGCTGACTTCGGGACTCCAGGGAACAACATTGGATAAGCCAGCAAAACTTCGAAAAGTATAGAATATGATGTGGTCTCCACAACCAGCGAAGCCGGGCCATCCAAGTTAGTGCTGTTTCGTTAGGGGGTGAACTGCACAGTGACAGCGGTGTGGTTCAGTACGACCACGGCAGTGGTTCAACTCCGCCCTGGGTTCACGAAGGCCCTCATCAATCCTTAATGGGGAAAACAAGGGCCAGAATCGCCTGATACCAGTTCGCTTTCTCTAATTCACAAAGGCTCACGATACATTGATGAAGGGCTAGGAATGAACCAGGAGCGCTATTCCAGGCTTTCAGAAAAAAATCGACTCAATGAGCATTTGCGACATTTATTAAGAATACCGAAAAATGTCAAACGGTAATCGAAGGCTAGAATTCAGCCAACTCGTAGATGCATAACTGGTTCATTATTTTCATTCAAACATGACTGAACAATCTGGCTATGTCAAAAAACAACGACCATCGTTGATGAGCTCGAAATCAAACAAACCTCGCGAAATTTAACCTCTGAACGATATTTCGCTTTAGTGCTCAAATGGCCAATGAAAGAGAACTATTGGTGAGCCGTTGATATGAGGACTAAGACATAAAAACGTATCGTAGCAACACACCGAAGTGATATTCGATTATAACAAGCGAAAAAAAAATCGTATTTGATTTTTTTCCAGTTCAATTTTCAAGACTGAAATTGTATTCAAATACAAAAAAAATTTAAGATTACTGATAAGTAAAAGAAGTAGAGCATGAACATAGTCGATTAGAGAGAAAAACAAACAAAAGAAAAGAAAACTAAACAGATTGAAAGCTGACTACAATTTTTGAGTGAAAAATCGATCAATGGCTCAAAAACCCCAGATATGTCAACAATTATTCTAAGTGTAGGTGATATTACTAAAGAGAAAAAATATAAAAACAAAAGGCAAATTTTTCCAGAAGTCTATTGGATTTAGATTTTCCCATCAAATTTGATATTTGACGAAGGCATTTAAATTGCGACTAAAAGGAGTAAAAATCAAGCAAACCTCTGTGGTCGTGCCACCGTAACTACTATCTTCATCGTACTGAGTAGACCTGGTATTCAAAGTCATAGCAGCAAGTTGATCATAGAGTGTTGGTGGAGCAGGTGGTGTTGCGCCATCAATTTTTCCACCACTTTGTGCATCTGGATTGCGACGCCAATACATTGAATTGCGTTTTGGGAACGGCTGCAAACACTAATCGATGTACTTGTTATCACAAGCAAAAACGAATCAACTAAAGTCTACCGCGTCATCGGGGCTGCGGGATGTTCTTGTTAAGTCACAAAGCATTTAGGAAAGCTCAAAAACCCAGCTAAGAGTAAATCCATACAAACTACAACCTAGCGAGCTATTTGTGTGTGGCTAACTTCCTAGAAAATGTAGAACTAATCGCCTCGTATCTAAGAGTACGCTCGCAGTCTCCAATGGGCTAAATGGATACTACTTAGCACCTCTGGAGAGCGACGGCGAGTAACAAACTGGTGGTGTGTACCAATGCCTGCTCAAGTTACACGATGATTAACGGGTACACAACTGATTGAGCTGATAGCGATAGCAAAGGTAAGTGATACAGACATACTTATGATGTAGTGCGCTCACCCTCACATCCACTCGTCTCGTGGCAATAATATGTCTGCCATTATTTTCACTAAGGCACTTGTCAGCACTTTGTTTGTCTTCAAATACAACGAAGCCAAAACCTCGACGATCACCAAGTATTTCCACCTAGAAATTTAAAGAAAAAGTTACAGAACACAACAATGACCCCAATGTGGTAAAGAAACCTGATCAAGTGAGCCAAATTTCTCGAAATAAATACGGAGGGTATCGACGGTATGGTAGTCCCAATTTATACCTGAAACTATGACACAAAAAATCTTGTCAAGTAAAAAAAGAGCACTGAGAGTTAGCAAGAAAGGCAAAAACGAGCTTGCAAAATGGAAAGCAAGTGTAAGTTTCGTAATTAACTATTTTTCTTGATGAGCAAACACGACGTTGTTATTACAGCATTCATGAGCACAATGGCTGACATTTCGGCGGTTTCACCTTCTGCAGTCTGGAAATGTCATTGCAAGCCACACAACAAAACACTTTCATAACCTCAGCGGATAAAGCTTACTATATAAATCTCCGTTCTCACAGTAAATAACTTCTTCTAAACACTCAAATTTTATTCTTTGTAAGACTTCTATCAATTTGATGTTGACCGGCCGTACAGAACCTTGGATGGGTAAGAGTGTGTCCGGAAAAGCTCAAAGGAACTAAGACGCCCCAAACGATAATTCTAGCTAAAATAAGGTTCCGTTTATCCCGCCCTTCATTTTCTTCGAAACATTGAAGCTATAGAAGGTAAATTAAGAAGAGTTGGTCAAGAGAATTCGGTAACGGTAGTTGAAATAAAACCGGACACTCTCAGACGCTAGTTAGTTCGTAACCTCCTGCATGATCGTCTATAGACAACGCAAAATTGCATAAAAGAACACCTAGTCGGTAAATTTAAAGTTAAGCGCTTGGGATGTTTTCGATAAATTACAAAAATCCAAAGGTGAACCGCAGGGAGGAATGTCTTGTGATCACGCGTGATTATGCGTCATACCTGAGACCGATTTTTTGATTCAAGCTTTTATGTACTCTAAATGTTCATTCAATAACTTGAAGTATTTGGCCATCTCCTCTCGCGTGGATCAGATGATAAAACAATCATCTATGTATCTAAAGCACAGAAATGGCCTGAGATCGATTTTATAACCTGACTCAGGCACATTCTTCTCCCATATGACTGTATGGCCGGTGTCCACCAAATAAGTGTTAGGCTTACAAAGAACAAAACTGTTTAAAAAAAGTTATTTATTAAGGAAATGAAAATTTGCGCACTAAGTTTTACCTGCTGAAGTTATGAAAGTGCTTGGCTGAGTAGAATGCATGTGAACTCGACCTTTCCAGGCTCTAAAGAAGAGGAAAACGCTAAAACGTCAGCTGTTGTGAATTAGCAAATGCTGCAATAACAAGCTCGTATTTGCTTATCAGAAAAAACAGTGAATTGTTGTTCAATGCCAAGCTTTGAAGAAATCTAGTCTTGGGGTTTGTACGTTCCGTAAACAATTGTACAACTTTAATAAACAGTTAAAAGTTAAGTGTGAACGCAATGAAGACAGAGTTAAAAATTGGTGCAGATGTAGGGATAGGCGCAACAATACCGACCTGAGAGCAACAGCTTGCAACCTGGAGCATGTTCACAAGAGAAGAATGGTGGTGGGAACATGGGAGTCATTTGCTCACGTGGAATAGCACGTTTCGAATCCACCTAAGATTTTCAATTGCACGAATATTCGAACTGACGGAATGTCAAAAATTACAGACATGTCTGATGCGAAATTTTACGCACTGATTTAAGGACATTCTAAAACAAAAGATAATCAATGAAAATTACCGTCTTCCCGGCTATAACATGGGGTCGGTCCATCATGGCTGCTTCGAGACTAGCAATTGTAGCAAAAGTAACAAAGCCAAATCCTCGTGATTGCTTTGTTGTTGGATCTCTTATTACAATGGCATCCACTACAGGTCCCCAATGAGTGAAATACGTACGCAGCTAAACGTCGCTATATTGGAACAAAAAACCATAAATCACCACCATTAGTCAACTCACGGCATCATCATTTGTTTCGTGACTCAGACCACCAATAAACATCTTCCTCATCTGTGGAGGCCCCTCACCGGGGCATGCGGGTAACGTGTGCTGAAACGAGTAATGCAGTGACAGCATACTTGTGGAGATATCTCGGTGGATGCGGTGCGTACATAGTAATATCTCTTAGAGTGGCAAGAAAAGAGTGAAAAATTAAGGTGTAGAGGCTATGAGATTAAGCGTATGATAGAAGTGACGACATGAACTACAGCTATGACATATTTATCAGCCACGTTACCACTCTTTTGCAAACAACGAAAAACAACAATGTGGTCGAGATCACAGTGTATTTGTTTAACATGAACACGCGATTACTGAGGACACTTTCTTAAACTAAAATGTTGCAAAAGTTAAAACAACAACCGAAATAGGATAGCAAGGGTGAGTAGACAGATAACAAAAGCTTCGAATTACAGCTTATCGTCCTTTTGTTGGATTGACCTTTTAAAAGAATTTGGCATAAGATATATGCACAATGTTGAGAACCTCCTTCAGTCACAAAGCACTAAGCTCAGTGCTTGAAAATGTTTCCGTTCCAACGCTAACTTTTTATTTGCTGCCTACTATAATTTTTCACGACAGGGTATGATGTAAAATACAACCACCATGATGCTGAGATATTTGCAAAACTCCGGACTGCAGGTGTCTGCGCTGGGGAAAGAACACGCTATTGTCCTTTTCGAGAAGTAACGCGTCCACCACCACACCATGTGGGCCCTTCGTTTCGCCTGTCTCTCATCTACTTCTATCGATCTTTTCCCAACAGCAACCACTCGTTAGCGGGATCGATCTAAGGGGCCCGAATCGGTATTGAATCCAGTTAGGCTGAGGCTGTAGGGCGGAATTTTGCGAAGGCGGTACAAGCAAACTTTTTTCTCGTTAGCAAAAAAACACTCCCAGTAGTTTCCTTTTCGATTAATAAAGTTTATTCAGAACTTTGACATACAAATTTTAAACTGCAGGTTGAAATCGAACATTGATTTCCGCACAATGTAATAATAATTAGCTGAGCATAAGACAAGGAAAACAATTGTTAGAACGAATCATAATAGAATATGAAGCGCATATCCTTAACCAATGCACAAAATTTTGAATTTTACTCCGCTGGACCTTTAATTAACTGATCTGGATAATTGCTTCTAAAGCGTAAATACCAAGATAGAGCATCGAATAACAAGGAAAAATCGCGAGAGCGTTATGTGAAGGATAACTACGAAACTCTACCACTAGCTGAAAAAATGTGAATTCCTGTTGAATCAGTAATCCTCAGTGAAAAACAAAAGTACAAAAATTAATATAGAGCCATCAAGAAACCGCGTTGGTAATGGCCACTGAGAGGCGACAATCGTTAAATTCAAAACCAAATTTTAAAAATTCCATAAAACAACTACGACGATACTGAGATATTCGCAAAACTTGGACAAGCAGCGAGATAGAACCACGACTATCTTTTCCGGGCGGAGCGCATTATACACTGCACCATTGAAACCCTTACGTTGCGTTTCTCTACCTTTCGCCGCCATCAGCAATCACCCTAGCTGGGAGGAACGCAAAGCAAGGGCTTCAGTGGGACACTGTGTAATACGAGAGCCTCCTAAAAGGGTAAACGTGGTTCGATCTGGCCCGGGGTATGAGTTTTGCGAATATCTCAGCATTGTTGTGGCTGCATTTCACATTGTACCCTGTTGTGAAAAATTGTAGAAGGCAGCAAATAAAAGGTTAACATTACACAAAATATTAGAGGAACTGGGAAGTGAGTGAATACAAGACGGTACTAACAGATTCTTTAACAACCGAAATCGGAGACACAAATCTCGACCAGCTAACGTTCTCTAACGCGAAATTACTTGACTGTTCTTAGCCCCTTTGTGTTCTAGCCTTCTACATCGCTTTGCATGTCCACTAATAGAAACACTGAAATGAAATTTAACAACTTACACGAGCAGCCACGTGCATCATAGGTAAGTGAGCAAGTGGTAATGTGTATGGAGGGCTTCTCCCATTGGAACGGCCGTTGGGCCCAACGAGCGGTACAAAAACTCCAGCCTGTACCAATTCAGCCAACTCTAAAAAAGTAAAGGGTGAGAGCAGAATATGTGCACATAAAAAGAGAGTACAAGACGTTAGGTCACACCGAAGAAACAGAAATGACTAACCAGGTGGAACATAGTGTGCGAACATTTCCGTGTTGTACCAATGCACAACTTGAGAAGAGCCTCGACCTTGTAACGACTTATTAGTGCCATCACCAGTTAGCAATGACGAGATTAATGTAAGCTCTACCAAATTCTGACACCATAACTAATACCGAATATAACGGTAATAACGTACAGATAAATCGAAACAACATGTAAAAATCTTACGTCCACCTCAATTGTTAATGATACGGCAATAAGACAAAAGCCATCTAAAGTACAGAATACTCGTCAACAAAACGTAGTTAGAGCGAATAACCTCTGAACTGCAACTATTATTCAACGTACAAAGTGCAAACAGAACGTTAATGCAAGTACAACTTACAACTCAAACACTAATTACGTTGACAACTTAAACATCTTCTCGAGATAGGAAAATAGTATTTCAAACAACCCACTTCCTATTAACTTCGGCACTGATGGAATAATTCGCTAAATTCTTGTTAAGCAAACATGAGGTGTTACTGTATTCTTTATTGTGATGGGGCTGATGTTTCGGCGGATTTCGACTTCCTCAAAGCCTTGAGAGGCCGCGTCGACCGCAATCTGCCTAGCCAAACACTTCCACAACCAAATAGGGAGAACATTAAACCAAGATTTCAACAGCATTGAATACAAAATAGCTTCTTTGAATACCCATCACTTCGTGCGTCTTCTAGTGAGCATTACACGTGCGCATCAACAGCACAGATTTCACATTAAAGAGTAAGGTATCATTCTCATTGCTCATTGAGCTCAATGAAAGTAGTGAGTGAGCGAAGAAGCCTTATTTTCAATGCGATGGAAATCTTGGACTAGTGTTTTCCCTAATTGGTTATGGTGTTTAGCTAGGTAAATTGCAGTCAACTTGACCTCTCCAGGCTCTGAAAAAGGTGAAATCCTCCGAAGCGTCAGCTCCATCGTAAGAAAGAATAAAGTAACACTTCGTCTTTGCTCAACAAAGATACAGAAAATTATTGGTTATTGGGATTTCGTGATGGACGTCGAGAAAATCTCTATGATGAATGCTGGTGAGGTGCATACGAGATTTTAGACGTCCCATTAATCCTAACCTTAATCTGACGAAAACAATACCATATGAGATTATTCACTCCTGAGAGCGTTAAAAAGTAAAAAAAAAACCGGCGAAATTAATAACTGAAATATCTTCCAGTGTTAAAAATATATGATGGAGTAATAGAACGCAGAACGAGCATAAGTTCGAGTTGCAACTGGAAATGACACAGCAAGAATTTCAACACTTCACAAGAGGTCAGTATATAGAACTGAACATTCTCGTAAAGCTTGTTCAAAGACAGAAGTTCACGAAACTGGAGCAACTGGTAGCATAAAGCTACTTATTGAAGCAAAACCGAATGAACTGCCCCAGAATCGCCGGCATCATGTATACAAATGCCAACCAAACTCGATAAGTAGAAAGAAAACAACCACAATTAAACTCAATTAAAGCGAAAGAAAATATCTGGAATGAAAACAAGGTATAGTGAGAAAGAGACGAGTACAAAATTACAATAATTGTAAATGTTAGGAAAAGGTTAACTCTAAATGTCAGTTATTGCAAGTAACGTAGAAAAAATGAAGGATTAATTCAGAGCAAGTTAAATAAAAACGACAAGTAATTTAAATGTTTCCCTTTAAACTAAACATATGATGAATAGCAGCAGAAGGCAAACGGCATTACTGCTTCGGTGAATCGAATGAACGTGGTGTGCCATCACGCTGTATTTCTGGAAAAAAAAAACTTTCACCGATGAACTCAACACCTTAGGAGTGGCAAATTGCTCACAGATACCTGGTTTATAACCTATTTCAAGACTTTAAAAGGCGAATACATTAGACTCATTCACTATAACCTGTTAAACTGTTAAACTCCGGCCAAGCCGTTACAACGCTATTCTGTCTGCGAATTTTTCGACAGCTTACAATAATTTCTTGATCAAAGGAATATTGGGGTGTAGAACCCTCAGAGATTTTTAGGAAATACTGTGCTGTATGGGTTTAGATGCACGTACATTTCTCACGAAATATTCCTTCAATTCTAGACTGCATTAGAGCTAAAACGTTCAAAGAATTGATAAAGAAATCTGGGCACAAAATTTTTAGCGCAAGTATAGCAGCTGAAAATATCAACGATATATTGCACAGCACTGTCGTTTCGTGATGATGATATCCCGCTTCTTATTTCCCTTTCGGGTTCGAAATGAAAGCTGTGAGGCAGAAAAAAACAGAAATAGGTTAAGTGAAATTCAGAAAACCAAGAATTATCTTCGTACAACAAGAGAAGTTTTGCCACAAAAATCTGCATTTTCCACTTCTACTGCAATATTGTTTGGCATGTTCTAAGAGATCCTGTTTTAAACTTCAGAGTAACCACCATTTCTGCATCATACGCCGTGAAATAAATGCCCACAGGCATACGTGGCTCAATGTTTAGTAGGAACTAGGATGGACAGCATACTAGTTAACTAAAAGCCTAATTTTTTCAAGCCATTTCATATGATTACCAAAAACAGACAGATATGGTATTCTGATGACAACTTCAATCAATGGAGACTTTCATCAGGCACAAGAATAATGGAATTGAAACATGAGAACATGGCCCTAGGAACAATATGCATAAGCACCACAATACAAGTACGCAACTGCTCTACTCAATTCCGGTTTCTTCAAAATATTTTTTTCTTCTTTTGTGTCTTTCCAAGGACCTCCCTCATATGAGGGATCCCGACAGTCAGTTAGTCGCGAGGCAATGTGGCTCGTTCCCAGGTGGCGCATAGGGGGTTAATCGCGGGCCAAAAGCGACCTTGCTTCCCTGAGACGCAGGTGGATCCAGAGGATGGACTCCCAGTTTCCGCTCCGCCGATTTCGCACATACTTTCTGTA